CCAAGGCAGGGATCCCTTGAGCTCAAGAGTTTGAGACCAGCCTGGCCAACGTGGCAAAAACCCATCTCTACAAAAAATAGGAAAATTAACCAGGCATGGTCATGCGTGCCTGTGGTCCAGGCTACTTGGGAGTCTGAGGCTGGAGGATCACGTGAGCATGGGAGGTGGAGGTTGTAGTCAGCTGCGATTGTGCCACTGTACTCCAGCCTGGGTGACAGAGTGAGGCCCTGTCTCGAAAAAATAATAAATAAAATAAATACATAAATTGTAATGGACCAACCTTGCTATTCGCAAGACAAAGTGAGCTTGTCTCATTGTGAAAGACCTACGCCTTCCGTTTGAGGAGAGGAAACATCCTAGGTTGCCTTCCCAGGAAGAAAGGTCATCTTGATCTCATGAACCTTGTGGCTACCTACCCTGCGGGGTGGCCTGAGGGGTAAAAACCCCAGAGGAGAGTAGGGTATTAAGAAACAGAGAAAGAGTCAGTGTTCCCTATAGGGTTAACTGAATACTCAGTGAAGAGAAAACTTAAAAAAAAAAAAACAACAGTTTGGATGTGGTGGCTCACATCTGTAATCCCAGCATTTTGGGAGGCTAACGTGGGCAGATTGCTTGATCTCAGGAGTTTGAGAGCAGCCTGACCAACATGGCAAAATCCCATCTCTATGAAAATAAAAAAATTAGCATGGTGCACGCCTGTAGTCCCAGCTGCTTGGGAGACTGAAGTGGGAGGAGGAGGCTGCAGTGATCCATGATCATGTGATGGCACTCCAGCCTGGGCAACTGAGCAAGACCCTGTCTCAAAAAAAAACAAACGAACCCCAAAACTGTTGTATGACTATGTGGTATATGGTGAAACACAGGTTCAGGAGCTATGCTGCCTGGTTTGGAATCCTAATTCTGTTTCTTTACTAGTTGTCTAATGCTTACTAGCCGAATTGCTACCAGAAACACTGTAGCACATGTAGTAAACACTATACTCAGCTATTTCTGTATAGGAGAAGAGGCTGGGCAAGGGGCTATGAAAACAGGAAATGTTAACATAAATAACAGGTCAGGCCAGGTGCAGTGGCTCATGCCCGTAATCCCAGCACTTTGGGAGGCCAAGGTGGGCGATCACCTGAAGTCAAGAGTTTGAGACCACCCTTGCCAACATGGCAATACCCCATCTCTATTAAAAATACAAAAATTAGCTGGGCATGGTGATGGGCACCTGTAATCCCAGCTACTCAGGAGGTTTAGACAGGAGAACTGCTTGAACCTGGGAGATGGAAGTTGCAGTGAGCCGAGATTACACCACTGCACTCTAGCCGGAGAAACAGAGTGAGATTCCATTTCAAAAATAAACAAAAAACAAAAAACAGGTCACAGGAGAATACGATGCAGTAATGAAAATAAACACTGTATAATCACATGCAACAATATTGATAAATCTCACAGACATAATGATGAATGAAAGAAGTAATCATATTCAAAGAACATGTACTATATGATTCTACTTTCTAGACTGTAGATTCTATGATATGAAAACAAGTAAAATTGTTCTTCTCTGTTAAAAGTCAGAATAGTGACACTCTTGGGAAGGTGACCAAAACGAAGTACAGGGGGACCAAGGCTTCTGCATTGCTCGTCATGTTGTGTTTCTTTTTTTCTTTGAGACAGAGTCTTGCTCCGTCACCCAGGCTGGAGTGCAGTGGCATGATGATCTCGGCTCACTGCAACCTTCGCTTCCTGAGTTCAAGTGATTCTCCTGCCTCAGCCTCCCCAGTAGCTGGGATTACACGCACCTGCCACCACGCCCGACTAATTTTGTGTTTTTAGTAGAGACAAGTTTTCACCTCGTTGGTCAGGCTGATTTGGAACTCCTGACCTCAGGTGATCTGCCCACCTCAGCCTCCCGAAATGCTGGGATTACAGGCATGAGCCACCGGCTGGCCTCATGTTGTGTTTCTTGATCTGGGTGCTAGCTCTATGGATGTGGGCAGGTTTAGAAATTAGGTAGCATCATTTCCACTGCATTGTATTGGCTTAGGTAGTTATAAAGGTCATCAACCTAGTTTCAATGGGGAGGAAGCATAGATAACTCCTCTCAAAAGGAGATATATCAATATAACCTTGTAAGAATAACTTGTGGGATAGCACATATATTGCTGTGACCATTATTACAAAATGTAAGATGCCCTATAGCACATTGTTTTCTTTGTTACCATCCATGAATATTTGCAATAAATCACCAAATCCTACTACTGTCCCTTGATAGTACTATGCCCTGTGTCTGTCTTCCATCACCATTAAACCACCTTTATTTTATGCCACCATCATACTGGATTATGATAAGACTAGTCTTTTTATCTCTGGTCTTATCTCTTTCTTAACTATTCTCCATATTGAAGCCCCGGCAGTTAAACAAACAAACAAACAAACAGCTCACTTAAAGTGTTCCTAAGTATGTTTATCCTGTTTAGAGATCCCACCAGACTGCAGACAAGTGAAACTGATTTGCAATTTCTAGCTTCCTTCCTGATGCACAGTCCACCACTCCTTACTATGGCAGTTACTTTTAATCGAAAGTTATATTTTAACTACTAATTCCAAGAAGATGCCATTCTTTCCTGATAATTTATTTATATGCAGCATGTCATTTACTTACAGAATATTTCAACTAGTACTGTGTTTCTTGAAACGCAAGATCACCTGCAACAAGTTGATGGGTCCCAAATCCCATTGCATATTTCATTCCCAAATCCCATTTGGGTGGGGTTTGGGTAGGGAGGCCCAAAAGGTCCTCACATTTGTGATTTTTTTCTTTTTCTTTCTTTTTCTTTTTTTGAGACAAAGTTTCACTCTTACTGCCCAAGATGAAGTACAATGGCACAATCTCAGCTCACTGCAACCTCTGCCTCCTGGGTTCAAGGGATTCTCCTGCCTCAGCCTCCTGAGCAGCTGGGATTACAGGCATGCGCCACCACCCCCAGCTAATTTTGTATTTTTAGTAGAGATGGGGTTTTGCCATGTTGGTCAGGGTAGTCTCGAACTCCCAACCTAAGGTGATCTGCCTGCCTTGGCCTCCCAAAGTGCTGGGATTACAGGTGTAATCTATGGCGCCTGGGCCCCAAATTTGTATTCAAATAAAGAACATCATGTGATTCTAAGGTACGGTAAAACTTGAGGACCACTAAGTAAAGTGCCTCTGACTTGCCTGTTTAAAATAATGAACAACAGACATTCCACATTCCTCTGCCTTCTCTAGCTTCTTCCTGATGTGTCTTAAGCAAGCCAAGGGGAGGTGGGTAGAGGAGAATATGCAATGGGATTTGGGACTGAGAAAACTTTTGTCTTAACTCTCAGCCCTGTTTCTTCAGCTTGACTTGCTGCCCATGATAAGCCCAGTGGTTCATTTAGTTGAGCTTGCTGTGTCCTTTTGAAGTCTCAGGGCCTTGAATCATCCTGCTCCTTCAGTCTAGAATGAATGCAGTCTTTTGCTCCCAACTCTACCCCTGCAAGGATCATCCAGTTATTAGGACCCTCCAAACAATTTTTCCGGAGTTCCTGGCCCTTTTTGCAATGCCCCCCATAATCCATGCAAGTACTCATTCATAAGCTCAACAATTAATTATCTATTGAGTGCCTATCATGGGCCAAGTACTGTTCCAGGGCCTAAACATACAACCTAGAACAAATGGGATAAAAATACTTACTCTTATGGAATTAGCATTCTAGTGGGGAAGGCAGACAGGTAGTAAAATAATAAATTTAAACAAAACAAAACAAAACAAAAAAAATAAACAGCCAGGCACTGTGGCTCATGCCAGTAATCCCAACACTTTGGGGGGCCAAGGCAGGCAGATCACCTAAGGTCCATGCAGATCACCTGAGGTCAGGAGTTCGAGACCAGCCTGCCCAACATGGCGAAACCCCGTCTCTACTAAAAACACAAAAAATTAGTCGGACATGGTGTCAGGCGCCTGTAATCCCAGCTACTTGGGAGGCGGAGACAGAATTGCTTGAAGCCGGGAGGCAGACGTTTCAGGTCAGCCAGAAGTACCTGGCAGGTTAGAGGAAGAAGAAGGGGTCTAATAAGATTGGAGCTGGAAACTAGGGGAAGAGGTACCAGAGGTTATAGAGGGCAAGATTCCATCAGGCCTTGTAGGCCACTATAAATACTTGGGTTTTCACTCTGAGTGAAACGGGAAACCATTGCAGGTTTTTTGTTTTTTGTTTTTTGTGTTTTTGAGACGGAGTTTCGCTCTTGTTACCCAGGCTGGCGTGCAATGGCGCATTCTCGGCTCACCACAACCTCCGCCTCCTGGATTCAAACGATTCTCCTGTCTCAGCCTCCCAAGTAGCTGGGATTACAAGCATGTGCCACCATGCCCGGCTAATTTTTTTTTTGTATTTAGTAGAGATGGGGTTTCACTATGTTGGCCAGGATGGTCTCGATTTCTTGACCTCGTGATCCACCCGCCTCGGCCTCCCAAAGTGCTGGGATTACAGGCGTGAGCCACCGCGCCCGGCCCCCATTGCAGGATTTTAAGCAAAGGAGGAACATACTTTGGCATTTTAAAATGTTGGTCTGTCTATGGTGTGTGTGGAGAATAGCCAAGAGAAGTAAGGTGAAATCAAGAAGCTATTGCAATAATCCAAGTGAGCTAAGAGGGTGGACTGGACCATGGGGGCAGGTGTGGAAGTCATAAGATTAACATATGTTTAACTCAAGCTGTGGCGTTAGTTATGGCTTGCATTAAATGCATCGCTAATATGCTTCTGGGGTGGATTTTTCCACCTTAGATTTCAGGGAATGGAAGTGATGGAAGGGAGTAGGGAAGGTCTGAGGTTACTAAGGAGATGGAGTCCCCTGAATCTGCAAACATCAAAGGTTTCCAGGCCTCTGAGCCTCTGGCGCAGCAATAATTCTGCAGCCGAGCCCACTAGCCGCTTCCCAATGACCATGCGCAACAGGCAGGTGGGAGCCTATGGAAAGCGCGGACTTTCGGAAAGCCTCACGAGCGCGTTCGGGGAGTCCGGGTCGGTGCCTCTGCGCAGGCGCAGTGGTCCCCGCGGGCTTGCGCGCGCACTCGCTGCGGGATAAGCTTCTGGAACCTCATTGCGGTGGCGTTGTTGCTGGTTGCGGATGCTGGTGTAGGTACTGCGTGTTCCCTGCCTCGAGTTTCGGGGCCGCGGCCGGATCGCGGGCTCCGAGGGTGTCCCTGGGGCGGGGTGGGGACCAGGAGCAGCCGACTAACCGGCTGTGCGCTGCGCTGCTGCTGCTGCTTCTATGGGAGGTGCGCACTCCGCTGCGGGACGGGGCCGTAGCCTTCCCTCCATCCCTCCCTGCGCCTCTAGGGCACTGTTGACATTTCGGGCGGGATAATGCCTTGTTTTGTTTGTGTGGCGTGGCGGTGAGGAGGAGGCTCTCCTGTTATTGCAGGATTTGTAGCAGCATCACTGGCTCTGCCCGTTAGATAGCAGTACTACCTCTCCTCCCAGTCGAGCTAACCAAATATGTGTCCAGATATTGTCAGAGGACCCCTGGAGGGTGAAACCTGTCCTTTTGCCCTCCCTCCGGTTGAGATCCTCTGGCTGCGTCACATTTTCACCGGGCCTCCAGTGTGTAAACTCCCTGTAGACGGAGCTGAGGGTCTTCGTCACCGCGGAGCCCCAGGTGCCCAGCACGGCGCCAGGTACCTGGTGGGCGCCTAGTATTTGGCATAGGAATAAATGACGTCATGCGTGCTGTGTGCCGGGCGTTGTGTTCGGAGATGGGTTGTTATTGGTATGGTAATTGCATTGCGAGGCTCTCACGGCCTTCATTTGCAGCATTGTAGTCCCGCTCCGGCCGTATTGTCATTTCCTGGACCCTCTGTGAGGGTGAGGACCCTTTCGGGCCTGTCCACGCCTGGCCCCGCAGCTCATGGCCCCTGGTCCCGTTCCAGCGCATTGTAGTTGCTCAGTCACTTGTAGAATGAATGAATGCATGCAAAACAGGGCGGTCTGTTTGCAAAGGAGTGCTTTGAGATCAAGCGGAGCATCACACAAGAGGTGACAGTTGAAAGGAGTCAGGCTTTAAAGAACGAATAAAAGTTTGATGGGAGAAAGAAAGCAACATTCCGAGGAGAGGGAATAGCCTTGGTGCAAAGGCTAGGAGGGTATATACAGAGAGTGTCTGGGAATGGAGAGATGTTAATTTATAGTGTCAATCGGGTAGCTAGAGCTCAGCAGGTGAAGTCATCAGGCAGTATCTCAGATCACAATGCATGGTCCTTGCTTGTGAACTTTATCGAGAGACAGTTTGGGGGCTGGTGAGGGACGATAAGCAAGGGAGTGATAAGATAATATTTTGCATATTAGAAGGAATTTTTTGGCTACAGTGTGAGACTGGATTGAAGAAGCCTGTACTTAAGCAGTTTCAGTAGGATAGAATGGAGAGGTTCTTAGGAAATAAAATCGCCAGAACCTGGTTACTGATAATGGGAGAAGTAAGGAGGAAGAGAAATTTGAAAGTCAAATATTAAATTGGGCTTCTGAGTTGAGCAACTGGTGAGAAATGTGTGGCCTTTCATTGAGAAAGCGTAGGAGTTGTTAAATAGCTTTGCAACTGGGTGGCCTTGTAAACCTTTCCTGATAACATTTTGCTTAGGAGGACTATTGAATCTGAAGCAACTGTTTCCTTTGAGGGTACCTTTTGTAACCCTTAAGTAGCTACTCAGCTTTTGACTATAAAGACAGTTATCAGCTGTGCATGGTGGCTCACACCTGTAATCCTAACACTTTGGGAGGCTGAGGTAGGGGGATCACGTGAAGTCAGGAGTTTAAGACGAGCCTGGCCAACATGGTGAAACCTGGTCTCTATTAAAAAGAGAAAACTTAGCCCGGTATGGTGGCGGGTACCCATAATCCCAGCTCCTCAGCAGACTGAGGCTGGAGAATCGCTTGAACCCAATAGGGGCAAAGGTTGCAGTGAGCCAACATTGTGCCACTTCACTCCAGCCTGGGCAACAAGAGCGAAACTCCATCTCAAAAAAAAAAAGAGAGAAAGAAAATTATTCTTTTAATATAGTAGTTGAGCAGGGCTGTTTTAGGCCTTTCTGAGTATGTGTGTGGAACCAAACCAAGAATGTTGTTTTTAGGACTGACAACAGTTTGTTTTACTTATTTAATGCCTTAATATTTCTTCTTGACAGTTTCTGCAGGACTGTAAACTAGATTCCTGGAACCTTGATATTCCTGGTTGTGTGTAGTGCCTGTTCCTGGACTGTACTGATACTCAACTAGAGTGTGAAGGGACTGGATTCTTCCTTCTGATACACAGTGCAAGCTGTAGTGCCCTTGAACAAGATGACAGCCATCTCACCAGACCCTCAAACTCTGGCCTCGACTGAACAAAATGTGGTCCCAGGAATGGTTACATCTGGGGAGCAAGAAACTATTTTAAGAGGAGATGCTACTGATGCAGAGTGTTTGAGACAGAGGTTTAGATGGTTTTGTTATTCAGAAGTAGCCGGACCCAGGAAAGCTCTGAATCAACTCTGGGAGCTCTGCACTCAGTGGCTGAGACCAGACATTCATACGAAAGAACAGATTTTAGAGCTTTTGGTGTTTGAGCAGTTCCTGACCATTTTGCCTGGAGAGATCAGGATTTGGGTAAAGTCACAACATCCTGAGAGTAGTGAGGAGGTGGTGACCCTAATAGAAGATTTGACCCAGATGCTTGAAGAAAAAGAAGGTGAGAGTTACAGATGGAGGGAGGAAGTGGGAGACATTGACTCAAAGTCTGAAAGTAAACTCCTCAAAAGAAAGCAATTTACTGCCAAAGAGGAGTCTGAGTTTTGAAGTTGGGATTGGATTTGAATCAGCCCTGCCATTTACTGTGTGATTTTGGGCAAGCTGTGTAAACTCAGAATGTAATTTTTTTTTTTTTTTTTTTTTTAAGAGGGAGTCTGTCACTCTGTCACCCAGACTGGAGTGTAGTAGTGCAATCTTGGCTCACTGCAACCTCCGCCTCCTGGGCTCCAGCAATTCTTCTGCCTCAGTCTCCCAAGTAGCAGGGACTGTAGGCACCCAACACCACACCCAGCTAATTTTTGTATTTTTAGTAAAGACGAGATTTTACCATGTTGGCCAGGCTAGTCTCGAACTCCTGACCTCAAGTAGTCTGCCCGCCTTGGCTTCCCAAAGTGCTGGGATTACAGGTGTGAGCCACCATGCCCGGCAGAATGTAAATATTTTTATGTGTTAAGGGATATCATCAGGCCGGGCGCGGTGGCTCACGCCTGTAATCCCAGCACTTTGGGAGGCCGAGGCGGGTAAATCATGAGGTCAAGAGATTGAGACCATCCTGGTCAACATGGTGGAACCCCATCTCTACTAAAAATACAAAAAATTAGCTGGACATGGTGGCACGTGCCTGTAATCCCAGCTACCCAGGAGGCTGAGGCAGGAGAATTGCCTGAACCCAGGAGGCAGAGGTTGCGGTGAGCCGAGATTGCGCCATTGCACTCCAGCCTGGGTAACGAGTGAAACTCCGTCTCAAAAAAAAAAAAATGGATATCATCATTCTTGTAGTTTTCTTGTAAAGGTGAGACAAGATAAGTGTGGATACTCAAGAAATATTAATGTCTTTCCCATCCCCTTCAAGAACAAAAGTTATCTGTGAAAGTGTTTGGAGTCAGAGGCAAATCAACCAGCTCAGGCCCTAATGTCTAGCTCCAGTGTGTGGACTAGCACGGTATTGGAGCAGGGCTGTCGGTATCTTTGCTGATGGAAATGTTCCTGCACTGTTTTGCAATTCAAGTTAAGCACATGAAAAGCAGCTAGTGCAAATAAGGAACTAAATTTTAAAAATCAAATTTAACATTTAGCCACATGTGACTAGTAACTATTTTATAGTGGAGTTCTACAGCCTTAGTGCAGGAAAACCAGAATTATTTGTATATAATTACATATTATAAATGTATAAAATATAAACTATGAATTGCAGCGATATCATTATAAAATATTGATGTGTAAAGTCTTCTAGGGTGAATAGTCCTTTCAGGGGATGTAGCTTACCTTTTTCTCAAATTAGTAGCTATTCATGTTCTCAAATATGTTAACAAATGTTTGTATTTTGCAGTGTAATATACTACAAATACATTTGGAATATTTGTATTCCAAGTATGTATTCAGAATATTTGTATTCCAAGTATATATTTGGAATATTTGGAAATAGTGATATAGGGAAATAAATAGTATTTCCGTGCATACACTTAATTTGCCATCATTTTAGATATACTAATTAGTATATCTAAAATTTGGGTTTTGCTGACTCCTCTGATTTGTCACTGCAGTGTTAGGCTTCTACAAAATTAGGGCCTCTGTGTGGAGGCCCCTGCAATAAAGAATTGCTTTTGGGCCAGGCGCAGTGACAAACGCCTGTCATCACAGCACTTTGGGAGGCTGAGCGATCACTCTCTGAGGTCAGGAGTTAGAGACCAGCCAGACCAACATGGAGAAACCCTGTCTCTACAAAAAAAATACAAAATTAGCAGGGCATGGTGGCGCAAGCCTGTAATCCCCACTACTCTGGAGGCTGAAGCAGGAGAATTGCTTGAATCCAGGAGGCGGAGGTTGCAGTGAGCTAAGGTCACGCCATTGCACCCCAGTCTGGGCAACAAGAGGGAAACTCTGTCTCAAAATAAAAGTTGTTTTCTAGGCTTTGGTAGGGTTTTCTTAAAATCACCCCACTTTTCTCTTTGATTACATAATTCTGATTCTTAATTTTTGTTGATCATCTAATCACTAAAGTTGTGTAAAATTCTTTTTGTAAAAAGGTAGTTTGATTTGAAAAAATACTTTTTCTTATTTGAAAAAGAGTTGTTGACATCTGAAGGTTTTTTATTTATGTTTTTATTTTTTACTGTTCCTTGTGGAGCAGGAGTCACTCATAGGCGGTGTGCCCAGAAAGAGCCAATCTGAAGGTACTGGATACATTTAGTTTCCATGAATTTTTATTAGATGCCTCTTTTCTGTCTTGAGGAATTTGGTGGAGTCAGTTCTTGAGACTAACCTGGGGCTTTCGTTCAGTTAGCAGGTTTGCATGGCTCTTGTCCCTAGGACTGTGAAGAATGTACAGTTTTACCTTACTACGTCTTTCAAATTAGAATACTTCAAAATTGGTTACTGTTCAAATTAAATATTTTTAGACAGGGTATATAGAAAGAAGAAAACCAGTTTTTGTGAGTTTAGGATTGGAGAGGATTTTTATATGAGCTAAGAGGAAAAGCCTAGGTTTTCATAGGAAACTCTTATCTGTGGCTGTTCTCTGTTTTAAAGAGTGGGACAACTTTTTGTTTCTTCTGAATAAACTTCACCTAGAGGGGCTCACAGCTCTTAGAATCCTTATAATTTCCAGGGCGATTAGAGCAGTAAGAGTATCTTTTGTTAAAATATTTGGCCTTTTGTCCATGGTTCCTAAAACAGCTCCTGAGCTATAAAGGGGAAAGACAGTCTTTTTGTTATTTGTAACAAGCCCCTTTTAACCACACTTGAGTTTAATGTTAATGAGGTGATTTTTGGAAAGTCCCTAGATGACCTTGGAATTGGGAGGGTGCTGGTTGCCAGGGGAATCAACCCTGTGCTTAGAGGGTTGGAACTCAGCCCTACCCCACAACCTGTCAGAGGGGAGAGGGACTGAAGATTGAGTTGATCAAGTGGCCAGTGATTTAATCAGTCATGCCTGTCTATGAAGCTTCCATAAAAACCCAAAAGGGGAGTTCCAGATAGCTAACCACATGGCAGTTCTGGAGACCTGTGCACCCAGACAGGGCATGGAAGCTCCAAGCCCCTTGCCCTCTGCAGTGCCTCATCCATCTGGCTGTTCATCTGTATCCTTTGGAATACCCTTTAAAATAAACTGGTAAACGTAAGTAATGTTATGTGAGCCACTGTAGCATATTATTGGAACCCACGGAGGGGCTAATGGGATCCCCAGTTTGTATCTTGTTAGTCAAAAGCCCTGGAGGCTGAGACATGAGACTGGCATCTGAAGTGGAGGATGGTCTTGTTGGGACTGAGGCCTTAACCTTTGGGAGCTGATGCTATCTCCAGGTAGTAATGTTGGAAATGAATTAGAGGACACCCACCTGGTGCCTGCTGGGGAATCTACCACAGAATTGCTTGCTTGGCATGGGGGAAATACCCCCATATATCTGGAGTCAGAATTATTTTGTGTTGTGAGTATAGTAGGAGAAACTGACTTAGTTTTTTTCCTGTGTATCACTTATATATGTAAAGATTTTTAGTCTGAAGAATCCATTTGAAAGACTGGACTGGTTTTCTCCCCCTTCCTAGATATCGTCTCTCAAGATTCTGTTTCCCAAGAGGAGAACTCAAAAGAGAATAAAGTGGTCGCTATTTGTCCCAATACTGAGTCCTGTGTAAGTTTCCTTTTGATGGTTTTTGTTCCTAAGTGAATGCTTAACTGGGCTCCTAAATAAAAGGCTTGGCACGGTGGCTTACACCTATAATTGCAGCACTTTGGGAGGCTGAGGTAGGAAGATTGCTTGAGCCCAAGAGTTCATGGTAGCAGTGAGTGGTGGTCATGCCACTGCCGCCTTCCAGCCTGGCCAACAGAGCAAGACCCTGTCTCTAAAACAATAAAATAAAATGTAGTCTCCCTTGCAAGGAACTCAAAACTCATTTTCCACACACAATTTTATTTCAGTTCACAGAATGCCATGAGTCTGATTCTAATGACACAAAAACACTTATAAAATTCAGCAGTTACCACTGATAAAATTAGATCGAAATAGAAGTTCATTTCTTTTTTTTTTTTTTTAAGAGATGGGGTCTTGCTCTGTCATCCAGGCTTGAAGTGGAGTGCAGTGGTGCAAGCATAGCTCACTGCAACCTCGAAGTCCTGGGCTCAAGCCATCCCCACTCCTTAGCCTCTTGAGTAGCTGGAACAACAGGGGTGCACCACTGTGCCCAGCTCATTTAAAGATACTTTTTTGTAGAGTTGGGGCCTTACTATCTTGCCCAGGCTGATTTTGAACTCCTGACCTCAAGCAGGAGTTTCTCTCTCTCAGCCTCCCACAGCATTGTGATTACCGTGTGAGCCATTGCGCCCAGCCAGAAGTACATGTTCTTAAATCTTAACATGATAAGGGATATCTTTGGCTGGGTACAGTGGCTCATGCCTGTAATCCCAGCACTTTGGGAGGCCAAGATGGAAGGATTGCTTGATCCTGGGAGTTTGAGGCCAGCCTGGGCAACATAGTGAGACCCTTGTCTATGTAAAAAATTTTAAAACTTAGCTGGGCACAGTAGCACGTACCTGTGGTCTCAGCTACTTGGGATCTGAGGTGGTAGAGCTGTAAGGAGGAAAGACAATCTTTCACTTGAATTTGGGAGGTTAAGGCTGAAGTGAGCTATGATGGTGCCACCATACTCGAGCCTGGGTAACAAAGTGAAACCCTGCCTCTCAAAAACAAGATGAGGGATTTATTCTGGATTATACAGGTGGGCCCTAAATGCTATCACAGCTGTCCTTGTTAGAGAGGGAGGAGGAGATTGAAAACACAAAAAGAAGGTGATATGAGGAGTTAGGCAGAGTTTGGAGTGATAGGGCCACAAGACAAGGAACTCTTGCAGCCACGGAAGCAGGAAGAAGCCAAGAACAGACTCTCCTGCGGAGCCTCGTAAGGGATTGCAACTCTGCCAACACCTGGATCTCAGACTTCTGACCTCCAGAACTGTGAGAGAACAAATTCCTATTTTGAGTCACCAACATTTTGGCAATTTGTTATAGCTCCCAGAGGAAGGTAATACATGTACCAATAGCCACTCTGCTCTACTGCCTCTCAAAAAGCGTGCAGAGGATGCTATTAAAAGTGTATTTCAAGAATTAGCCATGTGTGGTGGCACATGTCTATAATCCCAGCTACTTGAGAGGCTGAGGCATGAGAATCACTTGAACTCGGGAGGCAGAGGTTGTAGTGAGCTGAGATTGCGCCGCTGCATTCTAGCCTGGGCAATACAGTGAGACTCCGTCTCAAAAAAAAAAAAGTGTATTTTAGTGAGTCAGTATTCTTGTTTGTAATTAATTGTGGAGTAATTGCAAGTGTGAGTATGTTGTTGAATATAGATTCTCCAAATGTGATAGGAGATAATTGCTGCTTGTAATTGGAAGTTAAAAATTAGAATGTAGTTGCAGATATTATTATGTATTTAATTAATTATTACCTGTAGTAAGCTTACATTAATTTTGCAAACTTACGGTTTAGGAATGTAAATCATACCCTTCAATTAATATTTAATTCTAAAAATCAATGTATTAGGGTGAACTTGATCAATGTTACACATTCCAGATAATTCTTTTACAGTATTTAACACTAAAGAGTGAATGGAAGAGGCAGAGATTGTGTAATACCCTTGTTCTGAATCACTTATAACAGTCATAGAATGAATAGCCACTCTGTAGCTTTAGAATTCTTAAAAACTTAAATGCTATAAAGACTATTCTTTATATCCCATCCAGGCCAGGCACAGTGACTCAGGCCTGTAATCCCAGTGCTTTGGGACATAGAGGACAGAAAATTACTTTAGCCCAAGAATTTAAGACCAGCCTGGGCAACATAGTGAGACAGTGTCTCTACTAAAAAATTAAAAGTAAGCTGGGCATGGTGGCACATGCCTATAGTCCCAGCTACTGGTGGGAGGATCACTTGAGGCTAGGAGATTGAGCCTGTGGTGATGGCGCCACTGCATTTAAACCTGGTCAACAGAGCCTGTCTCAAAAAAAAAAAAAAAAATGTATTTGGGGTCTGTTTGGGAATAATCCAATGCAAAAGAACTGTTTGGTGTTCTAGGAATCTATAACATTGAATGATGTAGCTGTGAATTTTTCAAGAGGAGAGTGGAAGAAGCTGGAGCCTTTTCAAAAGGAGCTATATAAGGAAGTGCTACTGGAAAACTTCAGGAACCTAGAATTTCTGGGTAAAGGCACTTTTTCTTCATTATCTAGCATTTAAACTTATGTCTCTCTTTGTCCCCTTTTATTGAAAGGTAAGTGCTACGTGAAGTACTTTGTTTTGACTCAGGACCCAGGGGCTTGTAGGACTAATCCTAAAAACCGGTTCTGAAAATGTGCTTTTCTGCGGTGTGTCTTCTAGAAAAGGTCTTTGCTTCATTGAATTGGAAATGTAAAGGATCATTTTGATTTCATCAGTGGAATACCTTTTCCCACTTTTGTCTCAAGTTCCAATATTTATATCTGTGTGTTTTGGTAGCATCTTTTATCTTCCCTGGAGAACCAGAGGCTATATATGAATGCTGGGATGTCTTTATGCAAAACAGCTGTTTTCTGTTCTTTTCTCTATGAGCAGACTTTCCAGTTTCAAAATTAGAGTTGATTTCTCAGCTGAAGTGGGTTGAATTGTCATGGCTGCTGGAAAAAGAAGTCTCAAAAGGCTGCCAGCCAGGTGAGTTGGTGAAAAGTAGACAAGGAAATGAAAACAGTTGTTTAGCAAGTCTGTTGAGAGGAGTCTTTGAAATGTTGGGCTGCCTAGATACTAAAATATAAAGATGGTTAGACTAGAGCCCTTGCCTTCCTGGACTGTTCATTTTAATGGGGGAGGCTTGGTTTGGGTCCTCTGAATAGATACCAGTACATGATTAGCCATGCAGGATGTTTACTGGGGAAAAATTCAGTGAAGGAAAATGAGGAAGGAACTGGAAGAAGCCAGGAGAGCTATCAGAGCATAATGCTGGTCTAACCCCTATGAATGAGAACAGGAAGGAGGGCAGATTGGGTAGGAAAAGTCTTAGACTGAAGTGCAGTTCTAAAACAGTTTAGGCAAGGCCAAACAGGAGTCCTTGTTGTAGTCTCCTGTCAGAGGATTTTTGTGTCTCAAAAGAAATGGGCCTGTGTAAATATCCCTGTATTCTGTCATTGACTAGAAGCAGCTCGTGGAAATTGTCGTGAATGTATTGTTGGATCATAGAGCAGCAGCAGGGGCTGTCAGATAGTATCCCCACAGGAGGAGGTGTGAGCAGTGCATTTTTATGGACATGAGAGGACGGATCAAAACAGGAGTGTTAAGAATGTGATGCATACTATATCAAGCACATGTAGAAGGAGCTGTGGGAATGAATATATAGGAGCAAGGTTTTAATTTGCATTTGAGTTGAATCTTAAGAATAAAGGGTTAGTAGGAATTTACCCAGTGGACAGCATGTCTAATAATTCCATTTTTGTTAAAGGGAAAAAATGTACATATACACACATGCCTGAATACATGGAATGTATGGATTTTTATTATTTGGGAAACATTAACACTGGTTATCTTTGAAAAATTAGGTTTTTTGGCCAGGAGTGGTGGCTCAAGCCTGTAATCCCAGCACTTTGGGAGGCTGAGGCGGGCGGATCACGAAGTCAAGAGATCGAGACCATCCTGGCCAACGTGAAATCCTGTCTCTACTAAAAATACAAAAATTATCTGGGTGTGGTGGCACGCGCCTGTAGTCCCAGCTACTCGGGAGGCTGAGGCAGGAGAATTGCTTGAACCCAGGAGGTGGAGGTTGCAGTGAGCCGAGATTGTGCCACTGCACTCCAGCCTGGCGCCTGGTGACGGAGTGAGACTCTGTCTCAGAAAAAAAAAAAAAAAATAGTTTTTTTTGTTTTTTGTTTTTTTTGAGATGGAGTCTCGCTCTTTCGTGAGGCTGGAGTGCACTGGCATGATCTTGGCTCACTGCAACCTCTGCCTCGCAGGTTCAAGTGATTCTCTTACCTCAGCCTCCCAAGTAGCTGGGACTACAGGTGCACGCTACTACGCCCAGCTAATTTTCGTGTATTTTTAATAGAGATGGGGGTTTCGCTGTATAGACTAGGATGCTCTCAATCTCCTGACTTCATGATCTGTCCACCTCAGCCTTCCAAAGTGTTGGGATTACAAGCGTGAGTCACCTGCCTGGCCAAAATTAGGTTTTTTATACTTTCCTATATGTTATGATTTATACATATAAATACACAAATAAATAAATATAATTATTTATATATAAAATATATTTTGAGACAGGGTCGCTCAACTGCAACCTTCGCCTCCCAGGTTCAAGCATTTCTCCTGGCTCAACCTCTCACAGGCACATGCCACCAAGCCCAGCTAATTTTTTTGTTTTTTTTGTTTTTTTTTTTAGTTAGAGACAGTGTTTGCCCACGTTGGCCAGTCTGGTCTCTAACTCCTGACCTCAAGTGATCCACCCTCAGCCTCTCGAAGTACCAGAATTACATGTGGCAGCCACCATGCCCAGCCACAATTTATATATATTAAATTTACACTTAAAAAAATAAAAATAAGTTAGTACATATATCAATACCTTGGTTTATCCCAAGGTAAAAAGCAGTAATCCATCTTGCTCTATTACATCCTCTCAACCATTTATTGTAGTCAACTTATTGGCTGTTTCTAGTACACAATTGCCCCTTGAACAACATGAAAATTAGTTAAAAATCCATATATAATTTTTTTTTTTTGAGATGGAGTCTCTGTTGCTCAGGCTGGAGTGCAGAGGCCCAGTCTTGGCTCACTGCAACCTCCGCCTCCCAAGTTCAAGCAATTCTCCTGCCTCAGCCTCCCGAATAGCTGGGATTATAGGAACTTGCTGCCACGTCTGGCTCATTTTTGTATTTTTAGTAAAGACAGGGTTTCACCATGTTGGCTAGGCTGTTCTTGAACTCCTGACCTTGTGATTCCCCACCTTGGGGATCCCAGAGTGTAGGGAGTACAGGCGTTAGTTACTGCGCCCAGCCTACCTGGTGTTTTAAGTGGATACTTAGAGCATTCATTTGAGCTCGTTGCAAAACCAACAAGAGGTGCCTATGAAATTATACAGTGTATAGTATGTACTGTATTTAATTTTATGCAGTTATTATTATTTTTTGAGACAGAGTCTTGTTCTGTCTTCCAGGCTAGAGTGTAGTAGCATGATCACTTGAGCCCAGCTTCTCCCTCCTGGGCTCAAGTGATCCTCTCCCCTCAGTCTCTTGAGTAGCTGGTACTACAGACACATGCCACCATGTTCAGCTAATTTTTGTATTTTTTGTAGAGACAGAGTTTCGCCATGTTGCCCAGGATGGTCTCCAACTCCTGGACTCATAAACGAACTGTCTGCCTCAGCCTCCCAAGGTGCTGGGAATATGGGGGTGAGCCACTGTGCCTGGCCCAGTTATGATTTAATACTGTATCTTTACATTTGTTTACATTCTCTTTACTGTGAATGGCACCAACTACGGCCTGTAAGTGTATATTTACGTTTTGATAAATTTTAACTTCATAGTTTATATATATTATATAGTAGTAAATGACAAATAGACTAGTATCTATCTATGTATCTTAAATATTTATGACATACATTTTTATTTTTTAGACATTTCTAGGCTACACAGTTTGTCTGCAAGTTTTTTTCAAATTGTCACAAGTCTCCAAAAATTTTTCTGACATGTTTATTGAAAAAAATCCATGGGGCTGGGCATAGTGGCTCCCACCTGTAATCTCAGCATTTTGGGAGGCCAAAGTGGGAAGACCACTTGAAGCCAGGAGTTTGAGACCAGCCTGGGCAGCGTAGTGAGACACTGTTTCTACAAAAAACTTAAAAATTAGCCACGCACAGTGGTGTGCATTGAGGTGGGAGGATTACTTGAGCCCAGGAGTTAGATAGATGTTGCAGTAAGCTATAATCCTGCCACTGTACTCCAGTCTGGATGACAGAACAAGACCCTGTCTCTTAGAAAAAAAAAATCCACCTTTAAGTGGATGCTTGCAGTTCAAATCTGTTGCTCAAGGGTCAACTGTAATTACATAAATAAAGGACAATGGTTTTATTACATTTAAGTAGCATTTTGGATAGTACTTTAAAAAATTGATTCTAAAAGTATTTTGAGTAGTTCTAGCAGCATTGGTATGAATATGTCTCTTCCCCAATAATCTTATGTAAAAAAAAAAAGCCTCATAGCCTCATGTTGATATATAGCTTGTTTTAAAAGTTATTTACAACATACTGGAGAAAAAAGGTTTTGACAGATTTAGCAGAGTCAATGGACATAATTTATTTTAAAAACAAAACAAAACAAAAAAACTCAGCCAGGTGTGGTGGCTCACCTGTAATCCCAGCACTTTGGGAGGCCAAGACAGATGGATCACCTGAGGTCAGGAGTTTGAGACCAGCTTGGCCAATATGTTCAAACCCCATCTCTACTAAAAATAGAAAAATTAGCCAGGCATGGTGGTGTGTGCCTGTATTCCCAGCTACTCAGGAGGATAATTGCTTGAACCCAGGAGGTGGAGTTTGCAGTGAGCTGAGATTGCACCACTGTACTCCAGCCTGGGTGACAGAGTGAGACTCTCTCAAAAAACCAAACAAAAAACCTCATTCACATTGATAAGGAACTCTAAAACTGTTAGGAAAATGTACTGAAAACTTGAATGGATCACCAACAAAATTTAAAATTTAAATAGCTTGTAAACATGAGAAAAATGTTCAAACTCACTGGTTAGCAATGCAGCATACATGTAAAGCAATAATACTATTATGAATTAAATTTGCAGAGATTTAAAGAAAGATGATTTTACCAGAGATTAGTACTCAGGTGCTTCTGCTTGTGTGTCATGTAAAGTGGTATAGCCTGTATACCCTTTTTTTTTTTTTTAACACTCTACATGCTTTTTATTACAAGACTACTGAGCATATGAGGAAAATTCATCATCTGGTAACTACACCTAATGCACAAATATTTGGGAAAAAAAAATAAACAGATTCATTAAATTATGTGATTAAATCATTGACCAAATAGAAAATTTATACAATAAAGCCAGAAAAAAAAGTTTTAAAATATAGTTGACAATAATTATTCACATTCAAGGCTGTACATCAATACATACAACAACGTGGCCCAGAACATGAATTCAATCCAAATAATTCATATATTAGAATTTAAATAACACAGACCAAACTAGAGGCCAACAATAGCCAGCAAATAACCTTATATAAGAATAAAAATACAAAAGTGTATATCCTAATATTGTTGCGTTATTTGTTTTCATAAGTTCTCTTCATTTTTGCTTTGCCTGTACATCACAGTTACAGCTACAGACCAGGTTTAGTAATTCTGCTTTTATGACTCTTTTTCAGGAAGTATTATTTGATAAAGGTTCAATAAGAGAATGAAGGCCAGGCGCAGTGGTTCACGCCTGTAATCCCAGCACTTTGGGAGGCTGAGGCAGGTGGATCACCTGAGGTTGGGAGTTTGAGACCAGCTTGACTGACACAGAGAAACCCTATCTCTACTAAAAATATAAAATTAGCCTGGCATGGTGGCGCATGCCTGTAATCCCAACTACTTGGGAGGCTGAGGCAGGAGAATCACTTGAACCCAGAGGCAGAGGTTGCAGTAAGCTGACACTCTAGCCTGGGCAACAAGAGTGAAACTCCGTCTCATACACACACACAAAACCAAAAAAAAGTAAGAGAAATCTATATGATCAATTATCATGTAACTGATTAAAATTATCTTTATAAAGAATTAACAGATTGGGTGCAGTGGCTCATACTTGTAATCCCAGCAGTTTGGGATGCCAAGGTGGGAGAATCACTTGAGGCCAGGAGTTCGAGACCAGCCTGTTCAGCATAGTGAGACCCCATCTCTACACATAATTTTTAGAAATTAGCCAGGTGTGGCTGGGCGCGGTGGCTCATGCCTGTAATCCCAGCACTTTGGGAGGTCAAGGCAGGTGGATCACCTGAGGTTGGCAGTTCAAGACCAGCCTGACCAACATAGAGAAACCCCGTTTCTACTAAGAATGCAAAATTAGATGGGTGTGGTGGTGCATGCCTGTAATCCCAGCTACTTAGGATGCTGAGGCAGGAGAATTGCTTGAACCCAAGAGGCGGAGATTGTGGTGAGCTGAGATTGCACCATTGCACTCCAGCCTGGGCAATGAGAGTGACACTGTGTCTCAAAAATTTTTAAATGCCAGGTGTGGTGGCTATGATCGTGCCACTGCACTCCAGCCCAGGCAACAGAGTAAGACCCTGTCTCTAAAAAAAAAAAAAATTTAAAAAGAAAAATCAGCAGTGTAATGGGAAATAATTATAAATGAAAAGAGTGGCAATATAAAATGAAAAGAATAACTACAAATTATACAGTTTTTCTGTAGTTTAACAGAAAAGTTTAACTGTATAGAAACATTGAAGGAAATACACAGAATTGTGTATTAGCTATTAATTAGTTTCTAGGTAATATAATTTTGAGTAATTTTGTGGTTTATAGTTATCTGTTGAAAAATAGTTTTATAAAAGTAACAGTGTGATCTCATGGTTAAAAGGATGTAGTTAATTAGTGAATTCAAAATTCTGAGAAGAGCATAATCAGTGAGAGTATGGGATTAGAGAAGACTCTGGAGATCATTGGACTTGAACCCCAGGCCCTGTCGAATTTATGTTTATGACAGTGAGGGTGCTGTGGGAATGCATTCTAGGTAGTAGTAAGTATTAAGATCAGAAGAATAGTACTGGAACTGCAGCACTGTAGGAGAGACTTGAAAAGGATGCCTGATTAATATATCCATAAGGCTGATAGGGCCAACTTGTGGTAATCTTTGAAAGTCTATATTAAAGGTGTTGCATATCTGTGGTGTGTAACATTTTCAACAAAATTAGTGTTCCATGCTTTGCGGAGAGGTGATATAAGGATCAGGAGCATGGGCTTTGGATTCAGACTAAGTTAAAAAATCTGTCTCTATCACATATTATACTTGTGGCCTTGGGTAGGCTACTTAACACTCTATGTGCCCAGCTGTCACATAAACCAGGATGATAATAAGACCTACTTCATGGGGTTGTTGTGAAGATTAAGTGCAGTAATCAAGTAAGCATTGTTATTTGTATTACATCGTGCTTGTAAGTATTGTAGTTATTTGTATTAACACCATGCTTGATGCCGGACCTGGCATTTGGTAAATACTCAAATGTTTGTGCTGTCATTGTTGAAAAGAGAAAAGTTTGGATATAGGGAGAATAGGTTTGAACCTCTTACAGAAATTGAAAATGAGGGTGAGAACTTTTATCTAACTATAAAGCACAAACTTTTCACCTTTCTCAATATTTTTCTTAGCCCATATGTTTACATTGTTTCTCTATATTACCTTTTCCTTTTCTATTTCATAAAGCTCTTTTTGAGAACCATCCAAACTGTATTCCTTATCATTATTAATGTGTTCCTATTTCAGACTCAAATACAGCTTCTTTTCTTGCAATCAGGAAATATTCTATTTCTTATTTCTTTTAGATGAATCAGCTTTAGATAAAATAATAGAAAGATGCCTCAGGGATGATGATGATGGCTTGATGGAAGAATTCCAGAAATATTGTGGCATATCAGAGGAGGAGCATGGTAATCAGGGAAATTCAAAAGGAAAAGTCACACAAAAGAAAACTGTTGGTAAAGGCAGTAGGGGTGAGGAATTTGACCCAGATAAAAGCCCCTTTGGACGTAATTTCAAAGAACCTTCAGACTTAATGAAACATCTGAGAGTCTACTTGAGGAAGAAATCTCGAAAGTATAATGAAAGCAAGAAACCCTTCAGTTTTCATTCAGACCTTGTTCTGAACCGCAAGGAGAAAACTGCTGGAGAAAAGTTACGGAAATGTAATGACAGTGGGAAAGTCTTAAGTCACTCTTCAGCTCTTACAGAGCATCAGAAACGTCAGAAGATTCATTTGGGGGATAGGTCCCAAAAATGCAGTAAGTGTGGGATAATCTTTATTCGGAGGTCAACTCTTTCTAGGAGAAAAATCCCTATGTGTGAGAAATGTCGGAAAGATTCATGTCAAGAAGCAGCCTTAAATAAAGGTGAGGGAAATGAAACTGGAGAAAAAACTCATAAATGTAGTAAGTGTGGAAAAGCCTTTGGCTATAGTGCCTCACTCACAAAACATCGGAGAATTCACACTGGAGAAAAGCCCTATATGTGTAATGAGTGTGGAAAAGCTTTTAGTGATAGTTCATCGCTCACACCACATCATAGAACTCATAGTGGAGAGAAACCCTTCAAATGTGATGATTGTGGGAAAGGTTTCACCCTAAGTGCTCACCTCATTAAACATCAGAGAATTCATACTGGAGAAAAACCTTATAAATGTAAAGACTGTGGGAGACCCTTCAGTGACAGTTCATCTCTTATTCAACATCAGCGAATTCATACTGGAGAAAAACCCTATACGTGTAACAATTGTGGAAAATCCTTCAGTCATAGCTCATCCCTTTCCAAACATCAGAGAATTCATACTGGAGAGAAACCCTATAAATGTGGTGAATGTGGAAAAGCCTTTAGACAGAATTCATGCCTTACCCGGCATCAGAGAATTCACACTGGAGAAAAACCATATTTGTGTAATGATTGCGGAATGACTTTTAGCCATTTTACATCTGTCATTTATCATCAAAGACTTCATTCTGGAGAAAAACCGTACAAATGTAACCAATGTGAGAAAGCCTTCCCAACCCATTCACTCCTTAGTCGTCATCAGAGAATTCATACTGGTGTAAAACCTTATAAATGTAAAGAATGTGGGAAGAACTTCAGTCAGAGTTCATCTCTTAATGAGCACCACCGAATTCATACAGGAGAGAAACCTTATGAATGTAACTACTGTGGCGCAACCTTTAGTCGAAGCTCAATCCTTGTAGAACACCTAAAAATTCATACTGGAAGGAGAGAATATGAATGTAACGAATGTGAGAAGACATTTAAAAGTAATTCAGGCCTCATTAGACATCGGGGATTTCATTCTGCAGAGTAATTTTGGAATTACAGTAAGGTGGGGGGAATTTAGTTCAGGTTGTCAGTTACTGAAGCCCTGGGAAACTATTACAATATTGATCAGTAGCTGCAACTTGCATAAAATGGCAGCTAGGAGAAATTCTCCCCATTCGTCCCTCTTTTCAAGGATGGCAATGGCTGGTAAACAGTAATTAGTTGATAAAGTCACTGGAAAGTGAAGATTGCGAAATGATTCTGAGGCCAAACTTGATTTGGAAGTATTCTTTTCTTCAGGGAATTTCCCTCTGATTTCTTCCACTACCATGTAGTGTGATGGAAAGAGAACTTGACTGCAGTCAGATAACTTGGATTCTGTCCCAGTTTGCCAGCCAACTTGCTGTATGTACCTTGGACAAGTAATTTGACCTTACAGTTTCTTTACCATCAGAATGAAGTGATGAGACTAATGATTTCTGCCTTTTTTAGTTTCGTTTTTTTTTTTTTTTTGTATTCCTGATTATCTCTGAAGCTGTGGACATAAGTTATTTTTTTGATTTGTCATTATTTTCAAGTTTCTCTAGTGGAAAATACTCCTATTCAGGATGCTGGACTTTTTGTTTTTTTGTTTTTCTTTTTTGGGATTGAGGCTCACTTTGTTGTCCAGGCTGGTCTTGAACTCCTGGGCTCAAAGTGATCCATCCATCTCAGTTTCCTGAATAGCTGGCATTATGGGTATACTCCACCAAGCCTGGTTCCCAGGATGCTGGACTTCCAGCTAAATGAGAATGCAGTATACTCAAAAGTCAGTGAAGCTCAAATAACTTTTCCTTCAGGGAGTATTTTAATTGGACAAGGGAGTTCTTTTTCTCTTGAGCATTGGCCAAGGGGACTGAGAAGCCAGAGAGCTTACACCTGAGCTATCTCCTCTGTGAGACTAACAGTCCTAGGAAAATAGATGAGGGCTGGAGGAAAGAAAGTGCGCTGAAACAGAGCTGTTCTGGATGGATTTTGTTCTGCACAAATTCTACTTAAAAAAAATTTTACCTGCAGCAAGTACGTATTTTTCCAATTGGTGTGTAAACATTCTGTATGGCAACAGTTAAAAGCTGTTGTAACAGTTTGCTTGGGGTGTGGGGTGCGTCTGTGTGTGTGTGTGTGTGTGTGTGTGTGTACACATTATTGCCAGTATCTAAAATTAGGGCATTTCATATTAAAAACAAGGCTTGTCTTAAAAAAAACTATAAGGGCTAACAACAGTGGGCTTACATTTCTGTAAAGCACTCAGCTGGTCCTGGGTACCAGCTGCCACCTTTTGTTGAGGAATCTACTTTCTGACTTACCTAGTTCTCTCATATCTCTCTGAATTTCTGCTGTTGGAATGTTCTGTTATAATCCCTACCATTTGGAGGATAGATATCCTAAAATCTAGAGAGACCCCACTGATAGCAAGTAAAGTTCAGGGAAAGATTATAGAATTGATACAGAAAAAATTTTCAGTTAAGTTTTCTGTTGTGAAATTAGACCTCAGAGGAATGGAATATACGGGTATTGGTGGATTATTCCTTGTAAATTTCATTGGTGGAGTCTGAATAATAATTTCTAACTGAAAAAGGAACTTAAGCCCCTGAATGAGTGAGGTTTGGGATTTAGGTCATAGGGTTCTGGAGGAGCCCCATGGACTGAGCAGTGGTCTAGAAATAAGTTCCTAAAGTTGAAATTGTAGGCAGCTCCTGTAAAAAGAGAACTAAACCAGAAAACTCTTGGTTTATGGAAGTAAAGCAATCCTTAAGGCTGATCTTAGACTCAGGTATGTAGGTGTGAAATGCTACCTCTGGGAGAAGGTTTTTGGTTCCGTCCTGGTGCCTCCCCAACCCCAAACCTTCAGTTTAAATACTGCCATGTGATAAATTGGTCTGCATAGTTATTGCTAGGTAGACCCAACCAATCACATTCTAGCCATGAAATGAATGTTTATTATGAGAATCATTCATAATGATTTAAGTTTTTTTCTAAAAAGACAAAAAGGCTGGTTTAAGTTTTGTTTTCTGAAAGGTATAATTTATAGGAGTTGAAGAAATATGTAAGTCTTGAGAAGAGGCTTGTTACAGGATTACTCTTAGACTCCCCAACATTCATAACAATGTTTTATCCCAGTATCCGTTAGGAGTTTGGAGTATAAACTTTTTTTTAAATGAATTTATTGAGGTACAAATTACATATCATTAAAACCATTTCAAGGGTATAGTTCAGTGAGTTTTAGTAAATTTGCTGAGTTGTGCAGCCATTACCATAATCCTTTTTTTTTAGAATATCATACCAATAAGATTCCTTTTTCTAATTTACGGTTAATCTTCCTTCCAACCTCTAATCCCAGGCACCCACTAATCAGTCTACTTTGCATCTCTAGAGTTGTCTTTCTCTGTACATTTTGTTATTATATGTGATCTTGTGTTTTTTCATTAATGTGTTTTTTAAGTTCATCGATGTTGTAACATAGTAGTACTTTATTTTTTATTGCAAATAATATTATGTGGATACTTTGTCCATTCACTAGTTGAAGAACATTTGAGTTTTTTCCAGTTTTTGCCTAATAGGAATATTGCTGCTTTGAACATTGGTATGCAAGTGTTTTGAACATTAGTGTGCAAGTCATTGTGTGGACATGTTTTCACTTTCCTTAGGCAGATGCCTGAGGGGAGTTGCTAAGTCATAAGGTAAATTTTAGTTTGACTTTCTTAGGAAACTGCCAAATTATTTTCCAAAGCGACTGCATTATCTTACATCTGACTAGTAATGTGCAAGGGTTCCTGTTTCTCTTCAACCTTGCCAGTCATTGTTTATTTTATTTTTGAATTATACTCACCATAGTGTTTGAAGTGATATTCCTTTGTGGTTTTAATTTTGATTTCCTGGTGATGAATAATGTCAAAGCATCTTTTATGTGCTCTTCGGCCATTATCTGTCTATCTTAGTGAAATGTTTATTCAGATTTTTTTGTCCATTTAAAAATGGGGTTGATGATACTGTGTTGTAGTCCTTTTTGTTCTGGATGTAAGTCCTTTATCCAATATAAACTTTCTAAATACCATGTCCTAGCTACAGAGGGCAGCCTCAAACTCTGTGGGATAATATTTATGAAAGTCTTGATTTCAGTAGCTAAGTCTGTATAATTGTCTCCAAGACATTCAGTCGGGCCCATCACCCAAATATTTAAATTCATTTTTTGATTAAGTCAGATTATCAAAAGACTTTAAACGTGTTTTGATTCCTTACAGGATTGCTTTTAGTAAGAACACTGACACATTTTACTTTAAAATGAAGTTCTTGCTTTAAATAATGTTTCCTCTTAATGAGCTTGCATAAATTTTTTTTCATGTCCCAGGACAAGGCAAGAGTTTTGTCAATAAATTCACTTGTATTTATTTATTTTAGAATTCTTTTTTAATGTAGTAAAATACATATAGCATAAAATTAACCATTTAAACACTTTTTGGTTATATAACTCAGTAGCATTTAGATAGATTCACATTTTGTGCATTCATCCCCACTATCCATCTCCAGAACTTTTTCATCATCTCAGACTGAAACTGTACTCCTTAAACAGTAACTCTCAAGCTCTTGGTAACCACTGTTCTACTTCCTGACTGTGCAGATCTGACTGTTCTAAGTACGTGGTATGAATGGGATCATACTATTTGTCCTTTTGTGTGTGGCTTATTCCACTTAGCATAATGTTTTTAAGGTTCCACCATGTTGTAGCATGTATCAGAATTTAATTCCTTTTTAAGGCTGAATAATATTCCATTGTACTTGTACACCACATTTTGTTTATCCTTTTATCTGCCAATGGACATTTAAATTGTTTCACCACTTTGGCTATCAAGAATAGCACTGCTATAATCAGTGGTGCTTTCTGTTCTTTTAAATGTTCACCTAAAAGTGGAATTGCTGGATCTTACAATAATTGTACGTTTAACTTGAGGAAGTGCAGCAATACCAATTTAACTTTCCACCAGCTATGTACAAGGGTTTTAATATCCCCGCCCTTGCTAACACTTGTTATTTTCTATATATTTTTTTATGATAGACATCCTAATGGGTTTGACGTAGAATCTTATTTTAGTTTTGTTTTGCATTTCCCTAGTGATTGGTGCTGTTAACTGTCTTTTTATGTGCTTGTTGACCATTTGTATATCTTTTTTGGAGAAATGTTTATTGAAGTCCTTTGTCCATTTTATAATTGGTTTTGTTGTTTTGTTGTTGAGTTGTAGAAATTCTTTATATATCCAGAATATGTAAAGAACTTACCAGATAAATGATTTGCAAATATTTTCTTCCATTCTGTATGGGTTGCCTTTTCATTCTGTTCCTAATGCCCTTTGAAAAAAGGTTTTGGTGAAGTTCAATTTTTCTATTTTTTTTCTTTTCTTCCTTGTGCTTTTGTTGTCATACCCAATAAACCATTGCCAAATGCAATGTCATGAAGCTTTTCTCCTGTTCTAGGAGTTTTATAGTTTCAGATCTTATGTTTAAGTCTTGTAACCATTTTGATTTCTATGTATGCTGAAGGGTCCATCTTCATTCTTGTGCATGTGAATATCCAGTTTGCCAAGCCTCATCTGTTGAAGAGATTATTCTTTCCACATCATGTATTCTTTGCACTCTTGTCAATGATCATTTGACCATATACATGTATGTTTATTTCTGGCTGTCTGCTCTGTTCCTTTGTTCTGTATGTTTGTCTTTATGCCAGTACCATACTATTTTGATTACTCCAATAATGTTTTGTAATCAGTATTACACTATGCTTCCTGTAATATTTTTTGAAATGAGGAAGTGTGAGGCATCCAACTTTGTTCTTTCTCTAGGTTGTTTTGGCTATTCGGGGGTCCTTAAGATTTCAAATGAATTTTTGGATGGTTTGTTTTTGTGGAAAATATCATGGGGATTGGGCTTGCATTGAATTTGTAGACCACTTGGGTAATGTGGACATTTTAAGACTATCAAACATTACAGTCTGTGAACATAAGATAACTTTCCATGTATTTGTGGAATCTTTTAATTTTTTTGCAGTGTTTAATAGATGTCATTGTACAAGCCTTTGCCTCCTTGGTCAAGCTTATCCTTGAGTATTCTGTTGATGCTGTTGTAAATTGTTTTTTTTTAGTGAAGCATAACTGAGTTTTGAGTGTTGATTTTGTTTGTTGCGACTTTGCTGAATTTATTTAGTCATAACAGTTTCTTGTGAAATCTTGGGGGAGTTTTAAATATAAGATTATGGCATCTGCAAGCAGATAATTTTTGCTGCTACTTTTCTCATTTGAATGGCTTTAACTTGCCAATTGCTCTGGCTAGGACTTCCAGTACTGTGTTGAATAGAAGTAGCAAGAGTAGGCATCTGTGCTTTTTCCTGAAATGCTTTCAATTTTGTATAATTGAGTATGATGTTAGCTGTGGTCTTTTCAAATTTGACCTTTATAATGTTAAAGTAATCTCCTTTTATTGCTAAATTTTTGTTTTAAGGACAGTTTCACTGGATATAGATTTCTCAGTTGACAGTTTTTTTCTTTTTGCACTGTGAGTATAACAACGCCACAGCCTTCTAGCTTCCAAAGTTTCTGTGAGCAATCAGTTGACAGTCTCACTGAGGATCCCTTTTATGTGATGTGTTGCTTCTATCTTGCCACTTTTGAGATTCTCCTTTTGTCTTTGGATTTCAACAGCTTGGTTATAACTTGTCTTGGTGTATGTCTCTGTGGGGTGGGGGTAGGAGCAATTGCAGTGCTTGTTGCCATAGTTCAGAACCTGCACCACAAAGACCTTCCAGTTCTGTAGAGTGGTTTTTGCTTTTTATTGTCAGTGCAATAGAGAGACACTGGAGGTTCTCTGTGTGTGAGTGTATGAATAAAGATTTAATTTTGTTTTGCTCTTGTTTTGTTTTCCCCTCAGAATAGCTTATCAGATGTGGAACTTCTTGATCAATAGGGAGAAATGTCTTACGATTCTGAAAACATGCTGTCAAAATACTTTTTATAAAGTATAGTACATTTTAGGGTTTCTCCCTTGTGGAAATGTTAGTGTCTATAAAGGTCTGAACTAAGAAAGCTGCTCTCACAGCAGAACACTTGTGAGATTCCTCTGTGAATGAATCCTCTGGTGCTTATTAAATTGTGATTTCCAAGCAAAGTGTTTTTCTCTGTGAGAAGTTGGTGAGATAGCTTTCTCCAAGTCTTTTTGATGAAGTCTGATGTTGAGAGGTTATTTCAGGTTGGAGTTCTTAGGTCTTTCTCCCTTATAGATTATCGGACCACTCTAGTAATAAGCTTTGCTAAACCTACCTGTAGCTCTTCTGGGGTAATGATGGTGGTGGTGGTGGTGGCAGGGTTCCCCACTGATTTTCTAAATGTTTGTAGTCCTTTTGTAAAGTGGACCCTTGCCTTCTAAGGTAATGGCAAATGATACATATTTCCTTGCTTTTTTCAGCTCTTAAGAATCTTCTTCATTTTCTCTTTCAATCTGTCAACAAAATGAGAACTTTCATTTAGCTCTTTGAGCATCTTTAAGGCAGTTGGTTTAAAGTCTGTCTAGCAAGTCAATGTTTGGTATTCCTTGTGTCCATTTTTTGTTGGTTTATTTTAAAGTGCCTTTGAATAGTCCATACTTTGTTGTTTCTTTGTATGCATTGTGATTGTTTTTGTTGACAAGTAGACATTTGAATCTTATAATGTGGCAGCTCTGGAAGTCGGATTCTTGTTTTTTCCCCCAGGGTTTATTGGGTATTTGTGTGTGTGTGTGTGTGTGTGTGTGTGTGTGTTTTGTTTTTGTTTTATTGTCATGGGCTGTCTCAGTGCTAGGGATCAGCCTGTGTTGAATGCCTAAAATTTTCTTTTCAGAGCCTGTATTTTTTCTTGGGCAGGGGCAATGGCTTTCTAAATTCTCCTAGATACAGTTTTTTGAATGTCCAGAGAAACAGGTGTCATCCCTTTTTTCTTCTGGAAGCCTCTTTAACCAATTGGGGGTTGGGAGAATGGAAGCTTGCTCTTCTGTGTCTGCTCTTCCTCTGTGATCAGAAGTAGATAGCTGGAATCAGAACCCTGACATTTAGAGGAAGTGGCTTTTATTGTCCACCCTGGCTGCAGCAAGATGAACCAGAAATGTGGGGTTCTGTCTCCACACAGCTGCCTGCCATGGAGTGGATGGGGACGGGTAGCTGCTACTTCACTGAAGGCTGAAATCCGCCAATATTAACTGCAGTTTATCAGTCAGGATTTCCCCTAGAAGCTACAAGTGTTCAGATGGACTCATGTGCCCCCAAAATAATCACGTTAGGAACTTTCTGCATATGTAATTATTATCTAGGTGGAAAGGTGGATTCCTGGGTCACTCTCTCCATGTCTTTGATTTTTCCTACTTTCTTGCAGATTTCTTCATCTTCCAGCTCTACTATTAAATGTTTTATCTCTTTTGTCATATTTTTATTTCCAAGTGCATTTTCTGATTCTCTGTTCCATTTTCATAATTTTTTTTTCATGGGTGAAATATTTTTTCTCTGAGCATAGTGTCTTTCTGTGTTATTCTGCCCCTTGCATTATTTCTGTTTCCGTTGAGTTGTTTTTACTCGTTTTCTGTCTCTCACATTGGAGGCTTTTCTGAAGCCTCTAGTGATATTCATATTTAAGAGCAGGCCTCCAAAAAGCTGATTGGAAGGTGTTTTAGGTACTTCAGCACCATCCAGTAGTAATATAATATGAGCCACATATGTAATTTCAAATTTTCTAGTAGCCTCTTTTGGAAAATAAAACAGGTAAAATTAAAAATGTATTTTACTTCACCCAGTATATCCATATTATTATTTCTTTTTTGGGGGTGGGGGGATGGGTCTCACTCTGTCGCCAGGCTGGAGTGCAGTGGCACAATCTTGGCTCACTGCAGCCTCTGCCTCTCTGGTTCAAGCGATTTTCCTGCCTTAGCCTCTGGAGTAGCTGGGACTATAGGCACACACCACCACACTCAGCTAATTTTTGTATTTTTAGTAGATAACGGGGTTTTACAATGTTGGTCAGGAAGGTCTCAATTTCTTGACCTCGTGATCCACCTTCCTCAGCGCCCCCAAAGTGCTGGGATTACACGCGTGAGCCACCATGCCATAATATATTTCATTATGTAATCACTGTAAAAAATTATTGAGACTTTTTAAATTATTTTTTGCACTATCTTCAAAATCTGGTGTGTAATGTGTTACAGCACATCTTAGTCTACACACTCATTTTCATTTGTAATACTTAACTCACATTTAGATTTATAAAATGTAGAGTTGATAAGTAGATTCACATAGTTTTTCCAAACTTACTTTGTTGTTCTAAATATACTTAATTTTCCAATAACTGAATCAGTTAGCCAATTTTTTTTTTTGAGATGGGGTCTAATTCTGTCACCTAGGCTGGCGTGCAGTGGCGCAATCTCAACTCACTGCAACCTCCACCTCCTGGTGGATTCTCCTGCCTCAGCCTCCCCAGTAGCTGAGATTACAGGTGCACACCATCACTCCCAGCTAATTTTTTGCATTTTAGAAGAGACGGGGTTTCAACATGTTGCCCAGGCTGGTCTCAAACTCCTGATCTCAGGTAGTCTGCCTGTCTCAGCCTCCCAAAGTGCTGGGATTACAAGTGTGAACCACTGCGCCCAGCCCCAATTTTTCTTTTTATTTACAGACACATAAACAAAACTTTTTATTAGAAAAATTCATTTAATATTGAGGCAAAAGTATATCACTTTCAAAACTGTTTTTAAGTAAATTTAGTAACTCATATCAATTCAGTTTATTAGCATCAAATTTGATGAGGCATTCCATAATATCAGTACTACATAGCATTCTTCAGGTTTTTCTTATTTTTTTGCAGCCATTTACACTGTTATTACATTTAATATATTCTACATGTTGACTCATTTGTGTAAGTTATTTTGTTTCATTTGTATTATGAAATGTTTCTATTGTAAATAAATTCTTTTACCTATCTAGGTCACAAGTTTTTCTCATTTACGAGCTTCGAATTTAGCTTATTTATATGCAGTGTGATATTAGAAAGTGGGAGAAAATGTGAATCACAGTGCTGCTTTTTGTCTTTGAGTATTCGGTTAGCATTTTTTTTTTTTCAAGGAAATCTTGAATTAGATTTTCTAGTACAGGATATCTTTATAAAATTCTTTAGTAAGTCATCCAAGTAACATTGGTAAAGACACAAGATAATTAGATACATTATCCTTTTTTCCAGAAGTTTCATAAACTCAACATTCTATAGCTTTTGTGCATATGTACTGGAGAATTATCTGTATCCATGACACTTTTCTTGGAGTCTGCTTCAGAAAACTGAACACAGATATTTTCAGTATGTGTTATGCAATAGAATAAAGCAATGAAGGAAAAGTTACCTTCTTGCTTTAAAATTTCAACATGGATGGTCTTTCGATTTAGCTGGAGTCCCATCCTCATGATAGTAACTAACTTTTCTGTCTCTAGCTGAAATTCTTTGACAGATGGAAGATTGTCAAAAATATCTGCCATGAATGGGAGCCTTTAGGCAGTGAATCACATTTCATTGCCTTTACATGAGTCAACATTGTAAATTTGGAGGTTCTTTTAGACAGAGTATACCCATAGTTTTCTTTGGGCATTGTCTTGTGTCAAACAATTCCTCTAAAGCTAAAAAAAAAACTAGAAATTTTTCAAAGTTTGAATTGGTCTTTGATATTAAAAATACATATATTCTGTAAGCAAAAATATATTTTGTTCATGTATATCCAAGAGCAAAATTGTTCAGTGGTTTCATTGAAATTTTCAATTTTTGTGAATGTCTCTTAAGGTCTTTTCCTCATAATTTTCTAAATAATGATAACTAAAGTGACATTTTCTTCATCTCTCCATCTAAGATTCTTTTTTGTATATGCATGTGTAAGAAGCAAGCTATTACAGCTTGCCATGTTTACAAACTCAGACCCCATTAAAAGCTGTTTAAATTGTTTTTGTTAGAAATTTAAGTCTCAGTTCATATGACTGACTAATTTTGTGGATTATTTTTTGACTCAAACTCACTAAATGGTTGCTGAAAAATTATGTCTTAAATATTGTCTTAAGTATTATCTGCTATGTATCTTTAACACTTTTGAATACAACAAACAGCTTTTCCGTTTTGCTCTGCTGCAGTAAATTGCAATTGCTATTCATGATTCAATGGGCACTATCCTGTCTTCTAGCCTTTTTTTCTTGACTGTGCCAATTGTAGTACCAGCTTCTGCATCTGCACTGAATTCTGCCTCAGTAAAATGCCTTTGTTTAAAATTGAAATATTTTTTCATATTTTTTAACCTAGTAGATAATTATAATGAAAATATTAAGTATCTCATTTTAGGATTCCGATTTACATAGGTATCACTGCTACATGCTGTTTGCATAGGTATGCTCTATCTTGTGCTATCTGTATAAAATATCCAAGTAAACACATTATGATATATATCCGTGCATAGAAAAAAAATCATCTGAACTCAGTCTGTTGATACTGACTAGATTGGAGACATGTTTACGTGTAACACTAGTAATGCACGTTCTTGTACAAGCATTACAATACAACAGTGTCCTATGCGATGCAGTGGTTAAAGTGAATTGTAGTTCTATCAAAATAAAGATACGTTTAGTGGAAAAGTATTTGACTCTGCTTCCGTTTTTAAAATTGTGAAATGTGGCACTGTTTGCATTCCATTTCTCACTAGCCTCAAATGACTACCATATTGAGTTGCTGTTAGCAATGTTAGCCACAGAGAACCCAGCAAATCAGAGTAGCTTAACTGAATGAAGGTTTATTCCCCAGTGAGCTTTCCAGCATTTTGTTGCTTTCCCATATTTTGTAGCCATGCTGTGTGGAATGTGACTTCCAACATCCCAGAGGCAGGGAAAGGAAGAACTGGAGCACTGTACACCGTATTTAAGCACCAGCCTAGAACCATGCATGGATCTCAAACTAGGTGCCAAGGTTTCCCATGCCACTGTAGAGATCTCACACAGGCTTCCCAGGGTATTTTAAAATATTGAGATGAACCCAACTACAACTATTGACATCACAAACTACTACTATTGTGTCATTTGGAACTAACTAACTTCTTAGCAAATAGAATAGGTAGTTTAACCAATTTTTTTGTTTTTGCCTGGGAGCATTGTGGAAAAATGGCCGTGGTACTACAGATGCTGCAATTAGGAAAGTTTGTGAACCTTTGTCTTAGAAGTCACTTGTACTCTTCCATTGCCCAGAAATCAATCATACAACCCTAACCTAACTTAAAGGCAAGCTTGACATACACCTTTCCCCTCATTGTGGTGAGCACAAAGAATATTTCTACCATAGTCTGTTCTTCTGGTCACCAAACCCTTTCTTCCCACACACGATGCATACAGTAGTCCCCGCTTATTAATGGGGGATATGCTCCAAGACCCCCAGTGGATGCATGCAACTTAAGATAGTACCAAACCCTGTATGTTCTGTGTTTTGTCAATCTGATAAATGAGAAGGCTAAGTGACTAACAGGCAGGTAGTGTAGATGACATGGATATGCTGGACAAAGGGATAATTTGTGTCCTACGTGGCACAGAGCAGGATGAAAGAAGTTTCATCAAGCTACTCAGGACAACACACAATTTAAAACTTATGAATTATTTCTGGAATTTTCTGTTTAATTTTTTTTATTGCATTTTAGGTTTTGGGGTACATGTGAAGAACATGCAAGATTGTTGCATAGGTACACACATGGCAGTGTGACTTGCTGTCTTCCTCCCTATCACCTATATCTAGCATTTCTGCCCATGCTATCGCTCCCCAACGCCCCACCCTCCACTGTCCCTCCCCTATTTCCCCCCGACAGACCCCAGTGTGTGATGCTCCCCTCCCTGTGTCCATGTGTTCTCATTGTTCAACACCCACCTGTGAGAGAACATGTGGAGTTTGATTTTCTGTTCTTGTGTCAGTTTGCTGAGAATGATAGTTTCCAGGTTTATCCATATCCCTACAAAGGACACTAACTCATTGTTTTTTATGGCTGCATAGTATTCCATGGTGTATCTGTGCCACATTTTCCCTGTCCAGTCTATCATCAATGGGCATTTGGGTTGGTTTCCAAGTCTTTTCTATTGTAAACAGTGCTGCAGTGAACATTCATATGCATGTGTCCTTATAGTAGAATGATTTATAATCCTTTTATAAATCCTATATATACCCAGTAATGGGATTGCTGAGTCAAATGGAATTTCTATTTCTAAGTCCTTGAGGAATCGCCATACTGTCTTCCACGATGGTTGAATTAATTTACACTCCCACCAACAGTGTAAATGTGTTCCTGTTTCTCCACATCCTCTCCAGCATCTGTTGTCTCCAGATTTTTTAATGATTGCCATTCTAACTGGTGTGAGATGGTATCTCAATGTGGTTTTGATTTGCATTTCTCTAATGACCAGAAATGAGCATTTTTTCATACGTTTGTTGGCCTCATATATGTCTGCTTTGGTAAAGCGTCTGTTCATATCCTTTGCCCACTTTTGAATGGGCTTGTTTTTTTCTTGTAAATCTGTTTTAGTTCTTTGTAGATTCTGGGTATCAACTCTTTGTCAGATGGGTAGATTGCAAAAATTTTTTCCCATTCTGTTGGTTGCTGATTCACTCTAATGACGTTTCTTTTACTGTGCAGAAGCTGTGGAGTTTGTCCTTGCTTCTGCCTATGTCCTGAATGGTCTTGCCTAGATTTTATTCTAGGGTTTTTATGGTGTTAGGTCTTATGTTTAAGTCTTTAATCCATCTGGAGTTAATTTTAGTGTAAAGTGTCAGGAAGGGGTCCAGTTTCTGCTTTCTGCACATTGCTAGCCAGTTTTCCCAATACCATTTATTAGACAGGCACTCCTTTCCCCATTGCTTGTTTTTGTCAGGTTTGTCAAAGAACAGATGGTTGTAGATGTGTGGTGTTGCCTCCGAGGCCTCTTTTCTGTTCCATTGGTCTATGTCTCTGTTTTGGTACCAGTACCATGCTGTTTTGATTACTGTAGCCTTGTAGTATAGTTTAAAGTCCAGTAGTGTGATGCCTCCAGCTTTGTTCTTTTTGCTTAGAATTGATTTGGCTATGCAGGCTCTCTTTTGGTTCCATATAAAGTTTAAGGTGGTTTTTTTTCCAGTTCTGTGAAGAAGGTCATTTATAGTTTGATGGGGATAGTGTTGAATCAGTAAATTGCTTTGGGCAGTATGGCCATTTTCACGATACTGATTCTTCCTAACCATAAGCATGGAATGTTTCTCCATCTATTTATGTCTTCTCTTAAAAATATGGAATGCTTCATTAATTTGCATGTCTCCTTGCACAGGGACCATGCTAATCTTCTCTGTATTGTTCCAATTTTAGTATATGTGCTGCCAGAGCGAGCACTTCTATTTAATTATTTTGGGCTAAGGTTGATTGAAGGTAACTGAATCCATGGAAAATAAAAGTTTGAATAAGGGGAGACCACTGCATTTTACCCAAGGGAGACAATCTGAAGTCTAATCTGCTCAGGGCTTACAACTAAAGTGCAGGGACTTGGAGTTAGAAGCTTAGAGTGTCACCTCGTTTTTGTTTTTGGGACCCTAAATATCAGTGCCTGTTAATCTGTCATTGAGAAGTGTAATTTCTCCAGAGGGCTCTATAATTTCCCTAGAGAAGGATGTCCTAGTCAGCATGGGAGATAAAAGCCTGGCTACCATTACTGGGGAGCAGGCACAGGGGCACACTGCATGGTGGGATAGGAGTTGAAGTTCATCCCCTTTTATTCAGACTTCCACTTAGTATCCTGTTTTTAGTTTTCTATCTTATTTCTGTCCTCCTCCAGGCCCAGGGTACCCAAGTTAATAGCTTATCAAGTTCTATGTAGTAATAGATAATGCATCTCATTTCCTGTGGGAATTGTGATGAGTTGATAATCACATGGAAAAATAAGGTAGGAATGGCATCTTGAGCTCAAACTGTTTTTTATGCACATTTTCAAACTCTTTTTAGCCTCTTATTTTCTCCCTACTTTCAGAAAACCTGATGCCTCCACCTCCTAAATCTTTCCAGATTTCATTAGTACCCCATCAGAAGGCATTTGTGGTATTTTCTGCTGTGCTCTGTTAATGAAATGTTTCCTCTAAACAATATGTGTTTGTATTAGTCTGTTCTCACACTGCTATGAAGAACTACCTGAGACTGGGTAATTTATGAGGAAAAGAGGTTTAATTGACTCAGTTCTGCAGGCTATACAGGAAGCATGGCTGGGAGGCCTCAGGAAACTTACAATCATGGCAGAAGGGCAAAGGGGAAGCAAGCACATCTTCACATAGCAGCAGGGGAGAGCAAAAAGGGGAAGTGCTACACAGTTTTAAACAACCAGATCTCATGAGAACTCACTATCACAAGAACATCAAAAGGGAAATCTGCCGTGACCCACTCATCTTCCACCAGGTCCCTCCCCCAACATTGTGGATTATAGTTCAACAGCAGATTTGAGTGAGGACACAGAGCCAAACTATATCATTCTGCCCCTGGCCTCTCCCAAATCTCATGTCCTTTTTCACATTTCAAAGCCAATCATGCCTTCCCAACAGTCTCTTAAACTCTTAACTCATTCTAGCATTGACTCAAAAGTCCAAGTCTGAAGTCTTATGTGATACAAGACAAGTCCCTTCCACCTATGAGCCTATAAAATCACAAGTCAAAAACAAGTTAGTTACTTCCAAGATACAGCAGGGATACAGACACTGGGTAAATGCTCTCCCATTCCAAATGGTAGAGATTGGCCAAGACAAAGGGGCTGCATGCCCCATGCAAGTCAGAAACCCAGCAGGGCAATCATTAAATCTTAAAGCTCCATAATAATCTTGGACTCCATGTCTCCCATCCAGGGCATGCTGATGCAAGGGGTGGGCTTCCAAGGTCTTGGGCAGCTCTGCCCCTGTCACTCTGCAGGGTACAGCTCCCATGACTGCTCTCAAGGGCTGTTGTTGAGTACCTGTGACTTTTCCAGGTGCACACAAGCTGTCAGTGGATCTACCATTATGGGGTAAGCAGCATGGTGGCCATCTTCTCACAGCTCCACTAGGCAGTGCCCCAGTGGGGACCCTGTGTGGGGGCTCCATCCTCACATTTTCCCTCTGCACTGCCCTAGTAGAGGTTCTCCATGAAGGCTCTGCTCCTGCAGCAGACTTCTGCCTGGACATCCAGGCATTTCTATACATTCCCTGAAATCTAGGCAGAGGCTTCCAAACCTCAACTTTTGTCTTCTGTGTACCTGCAGGCCCAACACCACGTGGAAGCTGCCAAGGTTTGGGGCTTGTATCCTCTGAAGCAATGGCGCAAACTATACTTTGGCTCATGTTAGCCATGACTAGAGCTGGAGTGGCCACAATGCATGGTGCCATGTCCTGAGGCTGCACAGAGCAGTGCGGCCCTGGGCCTGGCCTGTGAAGCCATTTTTCTCTCTTAGGCCTCCTGATGGGAAGGGCTGACACAGTCTCTCAAATGCCCTGGAAGCATTTTCCCCATTGTCTTGGCTATTCATATTCAGCTCCTCATGCAAATTTCTGCAGCCTTTTTGAATTCCTCCCCAGAAAATGGGGGTTTTTTTTCTACTACATGGCCAGGCTGTAAATTTTCCAA